AGCAGGTTTTCAACGATCCGGCAAGTTTCGTCGCACTTCCACAAGTATAAAAACGTGCACCTTCCGAATAGAATTTGGTAATATATTCCCGGTCTTCCCAAACTAAACGCTGGACGTACTTTTGGTCACCATTTGATTCACGAGAAAAGGCAGGTTTCACCAGTACTGCACCGATTTTCGACCACTTTTTAAGTTCATCCGAATATAAGAAGTCTTTCTGTGATCGACATCCAAAGTAAAGAATGGCAGGGCCGACTTCTCTTCCACACACCAGCTGTGCCGCTCGTTCTTGAATAAAACCGCGGAATGGTGCAATACCAGTCCCAGTGGCAAACATCACCACCGGCACCTTTGTATCTGCGGGTAGATGAAAGTCTGCGTCACCTGCGCACACTGCAGATGAGACGATCATCTTTTTTCAGATTGGCGAGATAATTTGATGCGACACCATAGTATCGTCCATGTCCACTGTTTGCCGGACCATCGAGTACATCGATTGTAAGTGTAACTGCTTCTGAATTCCATAGAGGCGAAGAAGAGATACTGTATTGACGCACGCGTAGTGATGGGAGCATACGAAGGTACTGCGGAAATGAAAGTTCGCATGAAAGATATAATTCGAGAATGTCGAGTATGCTAAGACGTTTGTCGAGAATTTCAGTTTGGTATGCGTCGCCGCCGAGACTGGCAAGTTGTGTTTGTTCCTTTTGGTCTTTGCACACCGTAGCAAGCGTTTCTACTTGTTTTCGGCTGATCGGTTGAGTCAGCTCGACGTAGCCACTTAGAATATCTGATGCATTCACTGGGTAACCGGTTGGGAGAAAAGTTTCTGTAGACGAAAGAATTTTTATGTGAGTATCGGTGGACAAATTGAAACGTTTGAGAACTCGACGAACAACTTCAACTGGGTTCATTGGCAACACGGCAAGATAATCTCCTGTACGATAAGTTTGTCCTTTGGGTAGCTCAATCTCGATATGTCGCTTTGCAGGTCCAAGCTCGCTTGCTTCGGCAAGTAATTTGTTCTCTTTGACAATTCCAATATCGGTTATTTGTCCAAGATTTCTTGTGGAATTGACAATTTCAATCGAAAGTTTTTCTTGACTGATAACACTTTGCAACCCACTACCTTGGCGCAATACTTGGAAGAGATTCTCTTTCCAGGCTTCAAATGAACCAAAAAAATCACCAGCAGCATCACCAATTCCACGTTCAACGATTCTCGTTCCACCAGCTTTTTCAAGCATCTCGTCGATATAAATCGGAATCTTTTGGAACGTGCTCACCCAATCATGATGACCCGCTCCGAATATTGCATAGTTGATCTTGAGCTCCGGTTTCGAATCGAGGTATGCCACGAACTGTTTTGCGTTATCGCATGGTTTGCCTTCGTACGAGGAAGTGACGATGATCACCGGTCGATCACAAGGAAGAGATCCAACGACAGAGTCAAGAGTCGCAATTGTCGCATTGAATCCATGTGTAGATGCTTCGGAAGCCAAAATCCCAGCAAACGATTCGCATGAGCCGGAATTGCTGCCAAAGAGAACAGATATCGGTCTGCAATGATTTGTTTCGACCTGTTGTGTATGAGCAGGTGTCTTTTCACATGTGTTGACGCTGATGCCTACTGGAATTTTACCTCGCTTACGTGGTCGAACTCGCATTTTGAAGCCTTCTGGTTTGATGGTTAACGTCTGTTCAACACGAAGTTCATAGGAAGTATCAACAAATTCAATATTATAGTGTTTAAGAATTAGTGCGACGGCGAGAAGACTTTCTTGTATAGCAAAAGCTCGACCAATACAGCTTCGTTGACCGTTTCCGAAAGGTTTCCATGCATTTGGTGGCAAGTTTTCGAATCCTCCATTGAGCATTCGTTCGGGTAAAAATTCTTCCGGACGGTCCCAGACTTTCGGATCACGATGTAATTGAGACAGAAGGACCATAATTCTGTCGTCTTTGTGAATTTCGTAGCCACCGGGTAAAATCGCTTTGTCTTCTTTCAAGTGCAAGCTAATCACTGGCGCTGAAGGCTGCAGTCGAAGGGTTTCTTTAAGCACTGCATCAATATACTTTAATTTGGGCAGAGTGTCAATGGTAATTTCGTCGAATTGATCTGCTTCTGTTTGCGCTTTTTGCAAAGCATGCGGATTTTTAAGAAGGTAGTAAAAAGTAAACGAAAGTAGTCCGGAGGTTTTTTCGTGTCCGGCCATCAGAAAAGTTACCATTTGATAACGAATATTTTCATCAGATAATTGATAGCCAGTTTCTTCATCTTTTCCTTTTATCATCCGATTGAGCAAATCGTTGATGTCATTTGGATGTTCTCGTCTATGCTGTACTATTTCATCACACAGTTTGTGAATATATGCAATATCATCCTGAAACTGTCTTGCAGTCCCCAGCATAAGTGTGTTTTGTAAAGGCAATCGACGAGTACGTTTTCCACTTTCGCTGATGACATTGACCATTGCATCGACGAAATGATGCATTTTGTTTTGATAAAAACTGTTAAATCGGTAATCGAAGCTGCAAAGTGCAATCGTATCCAATGTTAATCTGGTAAAATTGTCGCACACATCGATTTCTTCTCCAGGAAAGCGTTCCCAGCGTAAAATCAGTTGCGAGGCAATATCCATCATTTCTGGAAACATGCCTCGGATTGCATGAGGTCCGAAAGCAGGAAGGAGAATCTTGTGTGCAAGTTTCCAATTTGGCTCTGACGTATGAGCGGTGAAAAGGCCATCACCAGTAACCGCTCGAAGTTCTACTATAGCTTTGCCAATCTGCTTATCAAACTTTGACTCGTCACAAACGAAATTTACGAGTTCTTGATTACATACCACCACGATTTTTCTGCTGAATACAGTCAGCCGGTAGATATCACCGTATAGCTTGTGGAGTCTTTGAAAAGACCTCAAAGCGAAGTTAGAATCTATTTCATTGAGATTCCCAATCAGAAAGCTTTCTGGAGGTTGTGGAATTGGTGTGCACATATTGCGTTTTTTGTCTGAGGAATTGCGTTCTTGAGAACTGTTCGATGGGCGAATGTTCGCTTAAGTTGGAGACGCACGCAGTTGTAAAAAATGTGGCTTAATAATCTCGTATCTAGAATACAAAGAAAGACAGGAGGCAGAAAAAATGAAGTATAAAAAAAATCTCAACGATAACAAACACTCTTACCCTCAGTCTTGATCTCCTTCTATTAAATGTGACGCTCTCGAAAGAAGATTTTTTATGTATATATCATGCAGTTATAGAGTATATTTGTACTTCAAAACGTTTTTCAGAAGAACAATAGTATCTTTCTCTTTCTCTTTTCCTTGTTCTTTTCGCTCTTGCTCGCTTTCTGGTCACGAAACAGACCTTGATTAGACCTGTTGCAAGATGAAAGAGAAAGAGAAAGAGAAAGAGAAAGAGAAGAATATTCAAGCTTGTAATACAAGCTTGAATATTCTTCTCTTTCTCTTTCTCCTTCTCTTTCTCTTTCACCTTGCAACAGGTCTATTATTACTTTCACTTTTTCGTTTGTTTTTTGTTTCTTTTTTTTTTTGTCTTTTTCTCTCTCCCTGTATCATCATAGAACCATGCGGGAACATATATATATACTACAAAACGTGTATGTACATTCTTTTTCTCCATCTGTTATCTTATTTTCTTCTTTCTTCTTTTACGAGATCCTTAAATTATTGTACAAAAGTGTACAACAATGTACAATTCGCCATCACTTCGGAAATGCAAACTGTTGAAGCATAAAAAAACGTTCAAAAGTTTCTGAATGCAATTCGCTTCTCGACACAGTTCGCAGATTTGGTATGTTTACACAGTGCTCGAAGTACCGGTTAATTGCACCGAAGTATAATTCGCACGGGAAAGCGCCATCTGCGAATTCGTGTTTGACCGCCTTGGCCGCACCACTCATATTTTATTGTCTGGAACAAGAAAAAAAAATAGCAGCAGCGTAAGAAATAAAAAGGATTTTCTTCGGGAATAAAAAGAAAAACACAGTTGACTTACTGAAAATAAGAAGTTTTACTTACTTTTGCCAACAAAATGGGTGAAACCCGACAAGCAATGGCACAATGAATGCAGGCATTTTCTATTCTATGCAGGCACTTCTAATTTATGGATAAAGTATATGAACAATGTGATGGAGTAGCGATGGACTCCCCATTAGGTCCCATTTTAGCCGAGATGTTTATGAGCCATTTAGAACAAAAACTAAATAGATTCTCAACTAATAAACCCGTTATTTGGTTAAGGTATGTAGACGATGTCTTTTGCGTGTTTAAATCGACTCAAAACATCAATGATTTCTTACAAAGAATTAACAAATGGCACTTGAATATTAAATTTACAATTGAAAGGGAGACAAATGATCGAATTGCTTTTCCTAACGTTCTAGTGATAAGAGATACTGTTAATGACAAATATGAGACCACTATATACAGAAAACCAATAAATACAGGTCTCTATTTATTATATGAAAGCAACCAAAGTTGGAAATATAAATTAGGTCTCATTCGATCAATTGTTGTCAGAATTCTATTGATATGTTCAAATATTACTCTTTCTAATTCTGAACTTACACAATGAAAGAAACATTGAGATAAAACGGATACCCTAGCCATCTAATAAAATGAGGAATCAGAGGAGAAGGGATAGTAAAGAGAATCAAACAAAAACAGCAACCTCAGTTTCAAACAATAATACCTCAAGCAGTAACAGTTCCGAAAAAGAAAATATTTTTCACATTTGCCTATTACGGACAAGAGTCGGTAGTTTTTGCTGAAAGAGTGAAGAAAATATGCAAAAAAATTACTACCATTAGTTCAAGTTAACACTGCATTCAAAAGAACATTCACATTGAAGAACATATTTCTACCCAAGCAAAACGGAACAGATGATAGTAAACAACATAAAAACTTATGTATAAAATACCGTGCAATAACTGTTATAATTATTACTTAGGTGAAACAGATAGAAAAAGAGCGGTTCGAATGGATGAACATCAAGAAGACATAAAGAAAATGAATCAAAAGTCATATCATATATAGCGGAGCATGCTCACCAGTAGCAACATTCTGTTGATTTCAATAAAGTCGAAACTCTAGCGCGTGAAGTAAATTGGAGGAGACGAGTTATAAAAGAGAGCTTATTTACACACTACAGCTATGGCAAAGCAATAAATGACATCAAACATAAATTGTACGTGTTTGATCAATAGAAGTGTCCACAGTCACATATATCTATGGAAAAACGTTCTATTAACAATATAGTCGACTGTATTCTATTCTTTTCTCTTCTGTTCTTGAAACGTTACTATTCTGTATATATATA